AAATTGACCCTTCTTAAAAAATCCACCTTTCCTAAAATCCACCTTTCCTTAAAAAATCCACCTTTCCTAAAGTTCACTTTTCTTAAAAAAATCATATTTCCTAAAGTTCACCTTTCTTTAAAAAATCCACCTTTCCTAAAATCCACCTTTCCTAAAATTCACTTTTCTTAAAAAATTCACCTTTCCTAAAATTCACTTTTCTTAAAAAATTCATATTTCCTAAAAAATTCACCTTTCCTAAAATTCAATTTTCTTAAAAAAAATCATATTTCCTAAAGTTCACATTTCTTAAAAAATCCACCTTTCCTTAAAAAATCCACCTTTCCTAAAATTCACATTTCTTAAAATTCACATTTCCTAAAGTTCACATTTCCTAGAAAATCCACCTTTCCTTAAAAAATCCACTCCTCCTAAAATCCACATTTCTTGAAAAATCCACCTTTCCTAAAAAAGAACACCAAACCTCAAATACAAAGCCGGAGACCTCAAACCTTTTCTTTCCCCCCCCCCAACTTTCAACTTTTGTTTGATCCCAATTTTGGCCCTAAAATGAACAAATATTTCCCTTGATGTGACTCAGTGTCAGCTGGGAATTGTTTTATCCCGATTTAGAGCAGGAAAATATTCACCACAGTTTTGCAATTCCAAGAAATCAGTTCAGCAGCACCTTGTGCTTTGATCTCCAAAACAGTTTTGCTCTGCAGTGGTTTTAATTTGAGATAAAAACCAGTTTAAATTCGCAGAGTGAAGGTGACTGAGGTGGGTGGGGTTTTTTTTTTTGTTTTACTTAAGATAAATGTATTTTTCCCCTCCAAGCAAAACAACATGTGAAAAATACAGATTGTTAAAAACCATTTCACTGGGGAAAAAAAAAAATAAATTGCAGCCAGAGACAAAATAATCTCCTTTAAATTGAAATTGGAAAGTGGGGTTTAAAAATACCTGTTGGATTTCTGGAGCCGAACTGCTGCGTGAAAGAACAGAGATTAGGAGAAGATATTTTCCTTCTATGAAACTTTTTAAGGCTGAGAGAGACAAACTGTTCCCAGCACTCCAACAAACAATTCCTTCAGAGGAATAAAATCTGTTATTTGAGGTGCTGGATGTTCTTTGGGAAAGTTCAAACTCTCGTTGTTTTTTTTTTTATGGGGGACAACTCGAGGAATCTCACGTGATATTTTAGTGATATTTTAGTGTTGGAGCTTGTCTGTGAAAAGGGGAAGGAGCAGGACAGCTGAGAGTTCTTCCCTGAGATCTTTTGCTTGTCGGGATTTTCCATCTTGAGGATTTTCCTGCTTGTCTTGAGGCAGTTGAGGATCTCTGGGAGATGTTTGTGACGAACGCCTGGAAAAGGAGCTTTGTCGGGAATTCTCGAGTTCTGGCTGAGCGGAGTGTTCAGGGAGGGGACAGGGACATGTGCAGGGAAAGGGGCTGCAAATGTGTCCTCAAGCGGCTCAAAAAACATGGAATGTTCGATAGGAACAGGCTGGGAGAGCTGGGGGGGTTCCCCTGGAGAAGAGAAGGCTCCAGGGAGAGCTGAGAGCCCCTTGCAGGGCCTAAAGGGGCTCCAGGAGAGCTGGAGAGGGACTGGGGACAAGGGATGGAGGGACAGGACACAGGGAATGGCTTCCCAGTGCCAGAGGGCAGGAATAGATGGGATATTGGGAAGGAATTGCTGGCTGTGAGGGTGTTGAGGCCCTGGTGCAGGTTGGACAGAGAAGCTGTGGCTGCCCCTGGATCCCTGGAAGTGTCCAAGGCCAGGTTGGAGCACCCTGGGCTAGTGGAAGGTGTCCCTTCCCATGGCAGGGGGTGGAACTGGGTGGTCTTTAAGGTCCTTTCCAACCCAAACCATTCCATGATTCCATGAAATACTCTACTCATGCTCTTACACTTTTCTAATAACTAAAGCTTGGCAGAAATGCTTGGGAATAAGTGTCAAAACATGGAACTCTTGACATAGAGGATTTTTTCCTGAATTTCCTGCTGACTCTTCCTACAGAGCTGAATTGGTCACTCATGGAAGAAGAAAGTGCCTTGGGCTTCCTTAGGGGGAAAAGGAGCCCAGAGCTGTGGATTTATTAACTACAAATGCTTTGGGATTGTCCAGAGATGGGTCTTGGGAAACTAAAGAGCAACTGTGTGCTATAAACCTGTTGGTGATGGAGGGAGAGGGTGCCAAGACATTCCTGTGGATTGGAAGTTGTGAAGGTGGGGAGGCCCTGGCACAGGTTTCCCAGGGAAACTGTGGCTGTCCCTGGATCCCTGGAAGTGTCCAAGGCCAGGTTGGAGCAACCTGGGCTAGTGGAAGGTGTCCCTGCCCATGGCAGGGGGTTGGAACAAGATGATCTTTAAGGACCCTTTCAATCCAAACCATTCCATGACTCTATGATTTGGTTGGGAGCGGGTTGAATCCCAGTGGATCTCGTTTCTGGGGTTCCTGGTTTTGCAGATCTCTCCCAAGGATTTAGGGAGGGTGTCCCCTCAGTCAGTGTCCTCTGGCATGTGGGTCTGAGGTGCTGAATAATTGCAGGAGGGTGTTTGGCTCCTGTTCTGAGCTGGAGGGAAAGGAGGGATGAAGCACCTCTCCTATGAGGAAAGGCTGAGAGAATTGGGATTGTGGACTGGAAGCTGTGAGGGTGGGGAGACCCTGGCAGAGGTTTCCCAGAGAAGCTGTGGCTGCCCCTGGATCCCTGGAAGTGTCCAGGGCCAGGTTGGAGCAACCTGAGCTAGTGGAAGGTGTCCCTACCCATGGGTTTTGAGCTGCTAAGCATTAAACCTCCCAATTAAACCTCAGAATTTCCCTCCTAAATTCAGGACCCTGAATTACCCCACCTGTATTTCCAGGGTGCCAAATGCTCCCCATTACCTTTCCCTCTTTGCACCCCCCCCCTGTTTTCTTCCACTCTCTTTGCTGTATTTTTCCACTCCTTGTGCTTTCTCACTTCTTCAGGAAGTTCAAGGAGTTGTAGCTCTAAATTTGCACTGCAAACTCCTGTGGATCATATGGCACCCGGCTCATTTTTGGAAGGATGACACATAACAGGCACAATAAAACATGTGAAAGGCTCGGGGAGATGAGTTTAGAGCAACTTCTGTGCTTGCTTTCGGCTGTGGGAGTTGCTCTGTGTTACTTCAGGCCGTTGAACTGGCACGTGGTTTAGGGAAGGGATGTCTTGGGATCATCCCTGTGCTTGGAAACAGCTCTGCTTCCGTGTCCTTCCCACAAGCCCTCCTTGTCCATCTCCAGGAAATTCAGGCAGCCAAATAAACTGATTGACAGGTTTAACACAGATAAAGGCACCAAAAAGTGGAATAATGATCCGGCCTTGGCTGGAATATTTCGCTGCTGGAATCACATCTGGGATGTGGAAAGGCTGGAAAATCCTGGTGTGGAATTCTGGTTTATTTAGAGGAATGTGTTTGGCTGATTTTTTTTTTATTGCCAAATCCCAACTAGTTGATGAGGATAAAAGCATCCAGGGAGCTGTGTTATTAATGGAATACACTGTTGCTGCTTCCACAGTTGTTGCAATCTCTAGGAAAAATAAATAAAGCCTAAATTTTGTTTAGCCTAAATTTTGTTTAGCCTAGATTTTGCTTTTTTTTTAAAAAAGATAATCTTATCTGGCCCATCTCCCTGGCAGTACAATGATCTCAGATTTGCACCTCAATGGAAGTGTTGGAATTTTAAATGACACTTAAATGGAAAAAATTCTGTCCACGCTTAAAATCCCGGAATCCTTGAGGTTGGAAAAGATCTTGAAGATCATCAAATCCAACCATCAACCAGCACCCTCATGTTCTACCACTAAACCGTGTCCTCAAGTGCCACACCCACATGATTTTGGAACACTTCCAGGGATGGGAACCCCACCACATCCCTGTTCCAGTGCTTGATAACCCTTTCCATGAAGAATTTTTTCCTAATATCCAAACTAAACCTTCTCTGGTGGAAGTCGAGACCACTTAAGAGGTTCCCTCGTGTTTCCTGGCATGGAGTGTGCAGGATAGTGTGGAATTTTGTGTCAGGGATGGGAATACCTGTGATACCTGTTTAATTAGTGCATGTCAAAGTGAGGGGAAGCTCAGCTCGGGTGGGTCATTCCCTGAATTTGCTCCAGGGGGAGCAAATCCAGTGATTTTTGGATCAATACTGACATTAATAAATTGCTGGCAGTGGTAACTTCAGGTTTTCCCACATTTATTCCCGGTTTCTCTCTTTGTGCTCTGAGAGTGGCAGGATTTCTGCATGTCTGGGGTGTGGTTTTTTATTCCCTTCTTTGGAGTGTGGCCTTTAATCTGGAGATATTTGCATTTCTTCTCTTCCAAACCTCTTCCCCTCACCCCAGGCAGGTGAGGTGCTAAAAAGATCCACTGCCAGCACTTGGGAGCTTCTGTTGGAATTAGAAAAGGCTTGGAAACAAAAGTGCTGTCCAGCCCTCCCAGCTGATCTCTTCACGTGGGGTTTCAAATGTAGGGAAGCTCCACATGTGCTACCATCCCCCAAAAAACCTTTGGTGTGGGCTGATCCCCCAGCCTGGGCAGCAGGGCAGGGGGGGATTCTGCCCCTCTGCCCCTGTCTCAGGTGAGACCCCCCTGCAGAGCTGCTCCAGCCCTGGGAACAACAGCACAAGGACGTGGAGCTGCTGCAGAGAGTCCAGAGGAGGCCCCGGAGCTGCTGCCAGGGCTGGAGCCCCTCTGCTCTGGAGCCAGGCTGGGAGAGCTGGGGGGGTTCCCCTGGAGAGGAGAAGGCTGCAGGGAGAGCTGAGAGCCCCTTGCAGGGCCTGAAGGGGCTCCAGGAGAGCTGGAGAGGGACTGGGGACAAGGCATGGAGGGACAGGCCAAGGGGGAATGGCTTCCCACTGCCAGAGGGCAGGAATAGATGGGATACTGGGGAGGAATTCCTGTCTGTGAGGATGGGGAGGCCCTGTCCCAGGTTGGGCAGAGAAGCTGTGGCTGCCCCTGGATCCCTGGAAGTGTCCAAGGCCAGGTTGGACAAGGCTTGGAGCAACCTGGTCTAGTGGAAGGTCTCCCTACCCATGGCAGGGGGTGGAACTGGATGATCTTTAATGTCCCTTCCCATCCAAACCATTCCATGATTCCATATTTGTAACAACCATCAGCCAAACCCACATGAGCTGATTTCGCACCGAAATGATGATAAATGTTTAATTAGTCCCTCAGCAGATGAATTCCATCCCTCCCTGATGACAGGCTGCATTACTGACAGCTCTCCTCTTCCTCGGAATTCTCCCATCCAGATTTTGGTGAGGGTGGGAAGTTTTCCACACAACCTCTGTGAGCTGTTCTCTGTTTTCCAGGATCCCTGGGTTTGTGGTTTGGGAGCTGCCTCTGAGTGTCTCCATAACCAGGATCAGGACACTGAGCGTTTCAAAGCTCCAAGATTCCCAAGTGTCAGACACCCCCAGCCCACCAGGACTTGGGAGCTTTCAGAGCCCAGCTCAGGACAAACTGTGCTGTTCCACAGATCTAATCCCTCCGATCGCTGCCTGCTGAGGGACATGCAGCTGAAATCCTGGAATGCTGCTCCTGGAATGCCTGTGTGCAACCAACACCCAACATCTGCACCAGACCACTCCCACAGCATGGCTGAACTTTACCCACCACTGGAATGGGATCCCTGTGCAATGGGGTCTGATGTACAGACAGAATTCCTTGTGCCGGCTCCGAAGGTGCTGCCGGTAGAGAAGAGCTCGGAAGGGATGGGAAAACCGATCACTCCCATCACCTTCTCATCCCAGAGATACCTCCAGTCCCCATTGGGTTCCCAGGCACTGGGAAACAGCTTCTCCAGGGATGGGTTGGGTGGGATCACACCTTTGGATGTCGACTCTGCTGCCACTGGGGAACAGAGCCATGACACACAACACTGGGAAGGATCTGGGACTTGTCCTGCAAGTCCAGTGCTGGCTGGCTCCATGTTCCAGGAGGTTAATGCTGCAGATCAAGGCAGGGTTCATCCCGTCTCTGCTGACAGGGACAGAGCTGGAGTTTATCGGGACACAGACTCTTTGTCAGCTCAGGATTCTGGGAGTGTCCATGCTGGGAAAAGACAGACTCCCAGTGCAGAAAAATGTGATTTTTTGGCCCAGGATGTGGATGAGTTGGGCAGGCAGAGGGATGTGGGGTTCAGTCAGGAAAGAAATCCATTCATTGAACCCCATTCCCTGAGCTCTTCCCAGCAGGAGAAGAGCAACTCTGGCCACATCCAATTCAGTGAGAGCTTGGGAGGTTCAGATCCAACAGAACAAATGGATTTACTCCAGGGTCGGAGCGAACTGGGAGAAGAGAGGAAAAGTCCTGCTGAACCACCTCTCATTCCAACAGAGGTTGGGAGGGACCAAGTGGAGGCATCTCACCATTCACCCCCAGAGGAGGTTTTATCCACCACACCTGCAGCTCCCTCCTCACCAACCAAGAAATTCCTGTCCTGTGTCCACATCACCCTCTCCTCCAGGGTCCGTCACGTGGAGCTGCCGAACGTGAACGCGGAAAATGGGATGAAAGTGGGGGATAAACGCGAAGTTAAGACTCAGTTGAAAGCTCCAGAAGATTTAAGAGAAGCTGCTCCTGAATTACCACCTGCTGACCTTATTCCAGAAGGTCCAAGATCACCTTTCCCAGTGGCTTCAGCAGATCCCAGCCAGGCGTTTTCCTCTGGGCAAGAACAAAGCAGTGAGAGACCTCAAGTCCCTGCTCTGGGATCAGGGGGCTTTATTCCCAAGAATATCTCCAGCTCTGTGCTTCCTGCAAAACCTGGGAGGAGGACTTCAGATGCTGCCACTCAGATCACCACAGAAGGTCCTGAGAAAACCACCTTTTCAGCAGAAATTTGTGTTCATCCCCAAGAGGATGAAGGTGCTGCCCAGAAACCACCTGAACTTCCCAAAGTTACATCCCATAACGAGATTCCCCCCTTCCCAAGGCAACCTGGTGAGCAAATTCCTGCCTTTTTTATATATATACTTTAATCTGTTCAAGTTCAAGACATTTTTAAGTATTAAAAACCAAAAATAAACTCATTTTTTGGTGGAAGTAACGTTTTTGAGATATTTTGGATGTGTAAAGTTACTCATATGGGGGAAAAAATCCAACCCTTAAACTTGGGTTTTTCAGTTTTGTGGGAAGGGATTTGTATGGATAAAGTTGTGATTCAGATCAGGTTTATCTAGAACTGAGTTTAGTGTGTCCTATAACCTCAATTTTTTAATTAAATCTGATTTAGTGATTAAATTTTCTGACATTTGTGTGGAGATAATTTGATTTGAATCGCTGCTTGGAGTTTATCAAGAGATAAATCTAATTACTGGTTTGCTCTCTAGTCAAGGTAATACAAAAAATAAGAGGAAAATATGCACAGTCCTGCTTTTATTAAAAAATAGAAAAATAATAGAACAATTTTAATAAAAGAATTAATAAAATAGAAAAATATGCAGGGTTTTTAATCCCTGTGGACAGAGGGACGTGGATGTTGCTCAGTGGTTTTCCACACCAGTGGGAGCTGGGACTCTGATATCTCAGCACATCGATTTTATTGACTTGAGAGACAAATCCATGCTCCTTTAAATTTATTTCCTTAACCATGGATCAACTGGGAGCTGTGTGGGTACAAGAGGTCTTTTTTTAAGTCACAAATTTCATATTGAATAGGTAAGAAAGCTGGTTTTTTCGAGGTTAGTGATGGTCAACCTCCTACCTTTGAATGGGTATTAAATAATTCAGTTAATTAGATAATTAAATGAAATAATAGTTGCAATTTCTCCCCACAGCTCAGCCTTTGCTGGTGCCATACAAACCTTCTGGAAGCACTGGGATGTATTATGTTCCTTTCCTAAAAGGAGGAGCCAAAATGTCTCCAGTTGAGTCAGAAACCAGTGGTGGGAGCTCTCACTCAGGTACTTATTTACCTTGGATTTTCCATGTGTCTGTAATCCATGGATGTAACCCCAAGGTGCACAATTCCTGACTGCTTTGCTTCCCATTCCTTGGATGAAAGGGATGTTATTGCTCCATTCTGGCAGTGAAAAAAAAATAACAAAGCTTAATATTTTAGCTTGATAATCCTTTCTTTTCCTTTGGGAATTACTGCTCAGTTTGGATTCTTCCCAATCCCTGCCAGTTCTCCCGGATCACTTGGGCATTACAGGTTTTATTTGCGGGTCGTTTGCTCTCAGAGCTTTTTAAATATCCAAAGTTATTTGATCCAGATAATATTCAGAGTTCATCTTGGAGATGACCAGTTCCTGAATTCCTGGCAGCTGGAGCCCGAGGGAGTAGGTTGAGACAACATTCCAACCACAAATCGGGATTGGGATGGTTCAGGTGTCTGTGCTCTTGATCTTTTCCAAGTTTATCTGGTGACACACGTCCAAAATGAGAGAAACAAATGTGATGCAAATCTGTTGTTTTGCAGAAATGAGGATGCCAGATATAAAAATGCCACATGCAAATGAAGCAGTGGAAGGTTCTAGGAAAGTGGAGGGCAGGATTACAAAACAAAACTTGTTCTTCCACCTCCCTGCTGCACTCAGGGTTCTCAGCTTGGGAGCAGGAGCTGAAGGAATGGAGGGGAGTAAATCCCACCTGCTGGGATTGACAAGGATGAGGAATCAGGGAGGGCAGTTTGAGGTTTCTGACATTATGAGACAGTGATAAAATCACGGAATTGTGGAATGGTTTGGGTTTAAAGACCACCTAATTCACCCCTTGCCATAGGCAGGGACACCTTCCACTAGCCCAGGTTGCTCCAGCCTGGCCTTAGACACTTCCAGGGATCCAAGGGCAGCCACAGCTTCTCTGGGCAACCTGTGCCAGGGCCTCCCCACCCTCACAGCCAGGAATTCCTTCCCAATAACCCACATAAATCTCCCCTTTTCCACTATGAAGCCATTCTCCCTTGTCCTGTCCCTCCATCCCTTGTCCCAAGTCCCTCTCCATCTTCCTTGTAGGCCCTTCAGGCACTGGAAGGCCCTGAAACCTCCTCTTCTCCAGGCTTGAAAAATCCCAATTCCTTCAGCCTTTCCTCATAGGAGAGGTGCTTAAAGGACCATCCCCTTCCACTATCCCAGGTTGCTCCAAGCCCCATCCAACCTGGACTGGAACACTTCCAAGGCTGAAGACTTCACAACCTCTGGGCAGTGATGTCAGGAAAACTCTGCTACTGCTCTCCTGAATTCCTGTCTCGGGGGTTACACAGACCCATTCCAATCTCCCAGTTGTTCTCCATTGCTATTCTGAGCTTGGAAAACAGACATTTACATCAGGCAGTGGAAATGGCTGGAATTTTAATGTGAGCAGGAGGGAGTCCGGACATTCCAAGTCCTGTGTCTGCTTCCAAGCAGACTTGTTACACTCATTTTTTTTTCTGTTCTTCTCTAAGTACAAAAGGTAAAATTTATCTACTTCTCAGGGAAGAATTTTGTCTCCAAAAACAATGTGAGGCAATCCCTGCTGCTGCTGTGAGTCCCTAGGGATCATCATGGAACCATGGAATGGCTGAGTGGGAATGCACCTTAAAGCCCATCTCATCCCACCCCCTGCCATGGGCTGGGACACCTTCCACTATCCCAGTTTGTTCCAAGCTCCATCCAACCTGGCCTTGGACACTTCCAGGGATCAGGATTGTTGGTTAGGTGTGGAATTTCTGTCTCTGTTTTTCCAGCTTCCCTTTTTTCCTCGTCATTTTGGCTCTTTCTCTGCAGGGTCCAACGATGCTCCTCCTCCAAGGTTTCTGACCCACGTGCCTGGTTTGAGGGATGAGAATCCTCCAGGAAGTGCAGCTCTCCAGCAGAAAGAAGGATCCCACAGTAAGAGGGCCAAACCTAAGCTGGCCTGGGCTGAGGAGCAAAGGATACCCCTGGAAGATTCTGCAGGTAGATTCTGTAGTTTTAATTTCACATCTGTTTTCATGCACGAGAAAGAAATGGGAGATAAACAATTATATTTCAGGATCCATGGGATGTTCCTGATGGGCTGCCAGGAAGTGCTAAATTTGACTCAGTTTTCTCTTCCTCATCTTTCTGCTTCTCCCTGACTCCCAAAATACAGGTTGCTCAGAGGGATTGTGGATTTTCCATCCCTGGAAGTGTCCAAGGCCAGGTTGGAGCAACCTGGGCTCATGGAAGGTGTCCCTGCCCATGGCAGGGGGTGGAACTGGATGATCCTTAAGATCCCTTCCAACCCAAACCATCCCATGATTCCATGAAATACTTGGCCATTAGTATTTGTCAACATTCCAGTGTCTCCTGGGCTTATTGTAGAAAATGCCAGGAATTCCCTGGTAAACAAAATGACTCCATGTTGGGATGAGGGTTGTGTTCCTGCCCACAGGCATCTGATACCTTGTGATGTCACGTCAGGAATCTCTGTCACCTTGGTGTTTGCCTGAATTTTAACTGGATCTGCTGCTCTCTCTTCCATCCTTCCATCCATTAACTTTGTTGGATGATATTCCTGAGGGATGAAGGTCAGGATTTTCCTCTGGAGTGGCCACTTCATTTGTTGGGAATGCTGACAAAATGGAATTAGGCCGAGCTGACTGGAGGGTTTGACACTTTTATCTCGTGACAGCAGCTAAAATTAGTCCTCATGGACACTCTTTTTGTACTAAACCTGATTTTTGAGTGGCTGATAAAATTCCTGGAATCTGAGCAGGGATGAGGATTTTTATTCCTGGACAGAGAATTGCTGAGTGATTCCTCAAAGCAACTCTTAATTCCTCAGAGAAGATGTTTATTGCCTGGCACAGCATTTTGATTTTAATTCTTTAATGACTTTGATCATTTTAATGCTTCTCTTCAAGGAGGGTTGTTTTTTTTCAGAGCTTTCCTTTTCACCGTGGAGGGATTTTGGTTTTTCCAAGGATAATTTTTATTTGCAGCAGAAAATTTCCAGTAAGGCTGCAACACCAATAACCTGGAGAAAAATGAAAGGGGGACAAAAATGCTCCTATAAAATTAAGTAATGTTATTTTCTGCATTTTTAATTATTAAAAAAAATATTTTATATTTTTTATTATTTGATGGTCTGAAAACCCAGGTCAGAAAAGAACTGTAAGGAGAAATTATATTTGATTTAAACCAACCAGTGCAGTTGGAACTTAAAACAGGTTTTCAAAAGACTTGAATGTCTTAAATCTTCCCTGAACTTCTTCAACTGTATTTTTAGATGGTCTAATAAAAGATTACCTCAACCCACAGAGCTTGTCTAGAGTTTAAAATTATCCAAGTTATGTGTGTTGTTTTTTTTTTTTTAATGAAGTTTCTCTGTATAAACTTCTTTTTATTTTTTGCCTGTTTACATTCCTTCCAGTTGATTGGGAACTTTGCAGAAGTCCAGGAATAGCAGAATTCTGCCTGGTATTCCCAAGCCTGAGCTCATTTGTCAGGAGGATTGTGGGGGAAGCTCTTGCACAAGTCCATAAACACTGACCTTGTATGGGAAAACAAATTCCAGCGATTCCAGACTTGGTGGGATTGGGAATGGGAACGTTGTCCACGATCTTGACGTTGCACC